GGCACATGCCTGTAATCCCAGCTACTCGGGAGGCTGAAGCAGGAGAATTGCTTGAACTTGGGAAGCAGAGGTTGCAGTGAGCCAAGATCGCGCCACTGGACGACAGAGCGAGACTCTGTCTCAAACAAACAAACGATAAAAGAGTGAACTGTGTTTATCTTGTGAGCTGTTGAGCAGCGCTCCTGCCTGGGTTGGTTTCTGCCCAGGGCCTGGTCCTGCCTAGGTCTAAGCAGCCATGAGTTACTGGCCATAGCGAGGGATTTGCCCCATGACTATGGGTAATGCTCTGTATTTGTGCAAAATTTAAGATGATTAAAAATAACCATTTCACAAAGAAGTATTCCCAAACATCAAGCTATTGACCCAAAAAGATCTGGTAAGATATTACTTCAAGGGAGAGGGACTGAGGCAAAATCCACCAACCGAAGTGCAAGAAAGCATGAAAAAAAAACTCCCTCACCAAAGTGAAGCTTCTGGAGCGAGAGCTGCTGCTTCGACTCTCCAGGCTGCCGCCTCTGCTGAAGGCTCGGAGTCTGCAGTTGGGGGACGTGTCCGAGTTCATGTCAGATGCGTCTGATTTCTGGTGGGTTACAGGCATCTCCACACAGTCATCAGGGCTGGCTCGATCACAGGAAGCAGGGCAGGAGCCAGCAGCCCATTCTGCGGCAACAGCTCACTCCTAGAGACACCAAACACGAATGACAATGGTCAGTGACCCTAGACTGTAAAACGCCTCCATCCCTCAAAAACATGGCTTAGATGCATCTCCACTCTCAGACTCGACCATTAGGGTAAAGGGGATTGGGAAACGCTAAGTCAACCGGTTTGAGGATGCTGACTGCCACTTCTCTTTTATATTGTTAACCATTCTGAAGACATAAGAATAATTTAAAAAAATTTTTTTTTCAGAGATAGTCTTGCTATGTTGTCCAGGCTGGCACTGAACTCCTGGGCTCCAATGATCCTCCTGCCTTGGCCTCCTGAGTAGCTGGGATTACAGGCACGAGTCACCATGCCCAGCCGGAATAATCTGAAGGAAAGATGGGTATATTCAAGATGACTTTGCTGCTGGAAATATGACAGAATAATGTGGCATCTTCCTCTGCACTTCCAAGCTCTTTCGCACTCAGGCTCTCCCTGGCTTTTCTGTCTCAGACGCCATAAACTGTGGTTGCTTCTCCAGCTCCGTTACAGTTCACACTTGAGGGGAGGTGACAAGAGCTAACGTGTTACCACTGGGAGCCTGACTGATATCTCCGAAACTGAGGACTCTACAGAAACCTCAAATGCTACTGCAATGTGTTCAGAATAAGTAAAGTACCCCCGGTTAATACTGTGAGGAAGTTCCCATCTTTACTTCCAGGAGCAAAGACACTGAAACTGTCCCCTGTAAGCCGCTTAATTTCATATAGTCCTCTGACCGCCCCCCAACCCCAGCTACCTTTTTTTTGAGATAAGGTCTCACTCTGCCAACCAGGCTGGAGTGCAGTGGTAAAACCACAACACACTGCAGCCTTGACCTCATGGGCTCAAGCAGTCTTCCCACCTCAGCCTCCTGGGTAGCTGGGACTACAGGCATGCACTACCACACCCAGCTTATTTTTTGTAGAGACAGGGTTTCGTCATGTTGCCCAGGTTGGTCTTGAACTCCTGAGCTCAAGTGATCCACCTGCCTTGGCCTCCCAAAGTGCTGGGATTACAGGTGTGAGCCACCATGCCTGGTCCTCTGACCCTTTTAGCAGGAAATCCAGCCCAGCCCCTGAATGGCGTGTTAAGACAGTTCAACAGAACCTTCTAGAAGACCAGAGAAGACTCATAGGAATAAGCCTCTTGCTGATTAATAGAAACATGACCATTTGTGGACAAAATGCAGTCTGCCTTGAACACCTTTAGGGGAACCCTGTCATTTAAGACTTCAAGCATTACCATGAAAACCTCCTCTGAGAAACCTTACAGACAACTCTGTAAAACAGATGAAAAAAGAAACACATTTCTGCTCAATCGGTACACATCAAATGGCGATTAAGAGCAAGGCTAGGAAACCAGAAGATGATATGCATACACATAAATTTGCCACTACTCCAAATAGTAAGAAAAAAAAAAAAAAGACAAAATCAATGGTCCTAGGAGAGCTGGTGGGCTGTGGAGCCGGAGAGAAAGGCAGCTCCCTTCCTTCATCTTCTCCGTACATTCCCAGAGGCCCTGGAATGACCTAGATGGTGTTACACACAAAGCCCTCCTTTCCCCATCCCACCACTGGGATGGGAGCAAATGGCCACACTCGGGTGTACAGAGCAGCTCAAGTAACCAGGTCTTTCTGCCATTCCCCTGAAAGGGCTGGTTTTGCCAAACGCCAGAGCCACATTATGTTAATCAGCGCCCATCCCTAGACACAGGGGCTTGCAGCCTCGTCACACAAATGAGCCATGGAGATGTCTCCGACTCCTCCCGTCCCTGCCACTCACAGGCCGCCAGCTGCCGAGCTCTGCAGACTCTTCCTTTACAACGTCAGTTGTACCCACTTCCCTTCTGGTCGCACATCCAAGTTCAGGACCATTTTAGCACATGCCTACGTTATTGCCACAGCCATTGTCTTCATCTGTTTTGTGCTGCTGTACAAGAAACAAACTTATCTGGCTTGTGGTTTGGGAGGGTGGGAAATCCAAGATCCAGGGCCACATCTGCTGAAGGCCTTCCTGCTATGTCCTGCTGTACCCTAACATAACGGAAGGCATCACTGGAAAGAGAGCACGAGAAAGGGCCAAACTGGCTTTTATAGTGAACCCACTCCTGCAATAACAGCGTGAAAATGTTCATCACCTCTTCCCGTCCCCGCCCCTCAACATGGCCATGCTGGGTATTAAGTTTCCAACACGTGAGCTTTGGGATACACGTTCCAACTACAGCTGCCACCTGCTGTCCTCCTTGCCTTCTCCCTCTTCTCTACACTTCTGCCGGATTCTCCAGTTGGATTAATCTTGAAACACCACTTAATTGTTACCACTCTCCCAAAAGCAGTCAACTTTAACCCATTCCCAACAGGCTTGAGAACGAAAGTTTCAGCCTATCAGTCATCACGTGCTTCCATCTGAACCCTATCTTCCTTTCTAGCCTAAGCATATTCTTTGATGCTTACTGTTTTCCTACCTCACCTTGGGGAGATTCCAGGTACTAGAGAAAGGCAGATTAATCAGGCTTCCCTTCCATAGAGGAGCCCATCTACGCACTGATGCTTCACCCAGGCAATGGATGAGAAGCTCTTTGGGACTGAGACCCAGACCTACAGAATACATTTATGGGGGTAAAGGCTGGGAGTGTGTGTTTTTAAGGAGTTCCACAAGTGATTCTGCCACATAGCGCCAACTCTAAGGGAAGACAGATACGTAACAATGTTCGGTGCCATTACAGGGGGTCCAGGAGTGCCCAGGAAGGTGTGCCCATGGCTCTAGGAAGGGTTAGACCAGAGAAGACTCATAGGAATAAGCCTCTTGCTGATTAATAGAAACATGACCATTTGTGGAGAAAGTGCAATCTGCATTGAACACCTTTAGGGGAACCCTGTCATTTAAGACTTCAAGCATTACCATGAAAACCTCCTCTGAGAAACCTTACAGACAACTCTGTAAAACAGATGAAAAAAGAAACACATTTCTGCTCAATCGGTACACATCAAATGGCGATTAAGAGCAAGGCTAGGAAACCAGAAGATGATATGCATACACATAAATTTGCCACTACTCCAAATAGTAAGAAAAAAAAAAAAAAGACAAAATCAATGGTCCTAGGAGAGCTGGTGGGCTGTGGAGCCGGAGAGAAAGGCAGCTCCCTTCCTTCATCTTCTCCGTACATTCCCAGAGGCCCTGGAATGACCTAGATGGTGTTACACACAAAGCCCTCCTTTCCCCATCCCACCACTGGGATGGGAGCAAATGGCCACACTCGGGTGTACAGAGCAGCTCAAGTAACCAGGTCTTTCCGCCATTCCCCTGAAAGGGCTGGTTTTGCCAAACGCCAGAGCCACATTATGTTAATCAGCGCCCATCCCTAGACACAGGGGCTTGCAGCCTCATCACACAAATGAGCCATGGAGATGTCTCCGACTCCTCCCCTCCCTGCCACTCACAGGCCGCCAGCTGCCGAGCCCTGCAGACTCTTCCTTTACAACGTCAGTTGTACCCACTTCCCTTCTGGTCGCACATCCAAGTTCAGGACCATTTTAGCACATGCCTACGTTATTGCCACAGCCATTGTCTTCATCTGTTTTGTGCTGCTGTACAAGAAACAAACTTATCTGGCTTGTGGTTTGGGAGGGTGGGAAATCCAAGATCCAGGGCCACATCTGCTGAAGGCCTTCCTGCTATGTCCTGCTGTACCCTAACATAACGGAAGGCATCACTGGAAAGAGAGCACGAGAAAGGGCCAAACTGGCTTTTATAGTGAACCCACTCCTGCAATAACAGCGTGAAAATGTTCATCACCTCTTCCCGTCCCCGCCCCTCAACATGGCCATGCTGGGTATTAAGTTTCCAACACGTGAGCTTTGGGATACACGTTCCAACTACAGCTGCCACCTGCTGTCCTCCTTGCCTTCTCCCTCTTCTCTACACTTCTGCCGGATTCTCCAGTTGGATTAATCTTGAAACACCACTTAATTGTTACCACGCTCCCAAAAGCAGTCAACTTTAACCCATTCCCAACAGGCTTGAGAACGAAAGTTTCAGCCTATCAATCATCACGTGCTTCCATCTGAACCCTATCTTCCTTTCTAGCCTAAGCATATTCTTTGATGCTTACTGTTTTCCTACCTCACCTTGGGGAGATTCCAGGTACTAGAGAAAGGTAGATGAATCAGGCTTCCCTTCCATAGAGGAGCCCATCTACGCACTGATGCTTCACCCAGGCAATGGATGAGAAGCTCTTTGGGACTGAGACCCAGACCTACAGAATACATTTATGGGGGTAAAGGCTGGGAGTGTGTGTTTTTAAGGAGTTCCACAAGTGATTCTGCCACATAGCGCCAACTCTAAGGGAAGACAGATACGTAACAATGTTCGGTGCCATTACAGGGGGTCCAGGAGTGCCCAGGAAGGTGTGCCCATGGCTC